AGAGCTGGGGGTACAACTGAGCAGGGGAATCAGCAGAGCTGGGGGTACAACTGAGCAGGGGATCAGCAGAGCTGGGGGTACAACTGAGCAGGGGATCAGCAGAGCTGGGGGTACAACTGAATGGTGATCAGCAGAGCTGGGGATACAACTGAATGGGCGATCAGCAGAGCTGGGGGGTACAACTGAATGGGCGATCAGCAGAGCTGGGGGTACAACTGAATGGGCGATCAGCAGAGCTGGGGGTACAACTGAATGGGCGATCAGCAGAGCTGGGGGTACAACTGAATGGGCGATCAGCAGAGCTGGGGGTACAACTAAATGGTCGAGTTCCCCTCATTCCCACCGGAAGAATCAGCACTACATCAATGGAAACAGATGGTGCCGTAATGCTGCATGAAAAAAAACAGAATTCTGGAGAATAGTTTGCTGATCAGTGGGAGGCCGAGGCTATACACGGATGTCCCGCTATGATCGCTGTGCTGAACAAAATGGATTTGTTTTATTACGTTCTTCATAGGAATAAAAAAAACACAACTTTTTTTATTAATAATAACAACAACAAGGTTACCTTATTATTATTATTTATTATTATTATTGTATTAGTAGTACTATTATAATAATAAATACTAATACATTATTATTCAATATTCTAAATAATACTATTATAATACCGTAGTAGTATTATTATTATAGTAATAATAATAATAATAATAATAATAAAAAATGATTATTCATTATTCTAATACTACTAATACTAATGTATTATTTTTATTACTATAGTATTAGTAGTACTATTATAACAACAATAATGTATTATTAGAGTATTATTATAGTAATGAATATGTAATACAGTATCAATATGTAATTAATAGTAATTAAACAGAATTGAAGCCCCAGCACAGCCCAGGGTGACAACAGACCAGCACGACACAACCCCCCCCCCCCCCCCCGTGACAGTGTGACTTCATACCGTATGATAAAATCATCCATCTCTTTATGTATACTTTTCTTTTACAAACCGTCCGCTCCATGCTTTTTGATTTATTGAGCTTTTTTAAAAGCCGGCGCTATTATCTGTAATTTATCTTGAAGAGCTATTCTTTTTCTTTTTTAGTACAAAACACTATTATGTAGAATAATTTAGAAATATTGGATGGCTTCCATTGGTTTACATATACCAAGAGTGAGAAATGAGTCCACAAATCAGAATGATGTATGAACCCCATTGGGGCGGTGTGTTGGGTTTTCGGCACTTCAAAGCTGTTGTAGTTCCTGGCACGGGGGAGGGGGTTCAATGCCAGCTGAAAAGCTGATTCCAGGCGCTGAAAAAACATTAAAAAAGGGATGTTTCACTTGCCAAAGGATTTTTATCTCTGTCCATCCAGACCCGATATTCACACAGCACTGCCAAAGAGCACAGGGCAGGAGGCCTATATTTTCGCTCCTGTAATTACGTAACACTTACAGGTCTAGTCCCTCCCCCAGCCTGTGACTGGACAGTGAAAGGAGAAGCAGCAGACTGAGTCCATCTGTCCCTCTGCCCTCTCCTCCTATCAGCATGCTCCTTGTAAATGCTTCTCCATCTCCCAGTCTAAGCACTGCTGTAAAGGGGCTGTTAGAGGCCGATACCTGGCCAAATTCAGGTGCTTGATAAGGATATGTTAAGGATTTCAAAGCTGTGTTAAGGTCTTTAGAATCCGCCTAGAGTTCCGCTTTAGCTCAGGTTCACACATATGCAGTGCGGTACATCACATGTGATTCACACAGGAACCACACCACATTCCTGTACAAATCACATGCGATTTGTGTGCGGTGCGATCGGAGCTGTACATTTTGTATGGCTCTATTCCCCCCGCCCCCGCACCAAAAAACGTGCGGGACCCTTTTTTGGTCAGCACTAGAATCGGATGGCATGGATATTCATACATCACACTGCGTTTTGCGGACCAATTTCGGGGTGTTGTTAACTTAACATACACACCCGCAGCGGTTCGCATGAATGGGGTGCGATTCTGATGCGTTGCGGAATTCAACGGGAGGCGGCTTTGCTTTGAAGTCAACGGGAGGCGGCTTTGCTTTGAAGTCAACGGGAGGCGGCTTTGCTTTGAAGTCAACGGGAGGCGGCTTTGCTTTGAAGTCAATGGGAGGCGGCTTTGCTTTGAAGTCAATGGGAGGCGGCTTTGCTTTCAAGTCAATGGGAGGCGGCTTTGCTTTCAAGTCAATGGGAGGCGGCTTTGCTTTCAAGTCAATGGGAGGCGGCTTTGCTTTCAAGTCAATGGGAGGCGGCTTTGCTTTCAAGTCAATGGGAGGCGGCTTTGCTTTCAAGTCAATGGGAGGCGGCTTTGCTTTCAAGTCAATGGGAGGCGGCTTTGCTTTCAAGTCAATGGGAGGCGGCTTTGCTTTCAAGTCAATGGGAGGCGGCTTTTCTTTCAAGTCAACAGCAGTTGACTTTGTATTGTAGTCAACGAGAGCTGATTTTGCATTGAAGTCAACTGGAGGAGTTTTGGATTGCAGTTGAAGGAAAATGATTTTTTATTGAAGTAAATATGAGGCGATTTTACATTGCAGTCGATGAGACGTGATTTTGCATTGAAGTCAACGGGAGGCGGCTTTGCTTTGAAGTCAATGGGAGGCAGCTTTGCTTCGAAGTAAACAGCAGTCGACTTTTCATTGAAGTCAATGGGAGGTGATTTTGCACTGAAGTCAATGGGATGCTTATCAGAATTGCACCTGAATTGAACCTGAACTGGTGAACAATTTGCATCAGAATTGCACCTGATGCACAGAAATTGCACTGTGAATTTGTGGCAAACTCACAGTCAAAAATGGATGGAACTCGCACCACACCAGTGGGAACCAGGCCTTACTTTGAACTGACACCTGCAGCAGATCACAAAACACAATGCGTTAGGAGTGCCATGCGGGAGACACACGGGAATAGCAGCGTTTCCCACACCGCACATATGTGAACCTGGCCTCAAAGTGTAAATGAGCCCTTACCCTTCAAATATGTAGATGTACAAACAGCAGATTGCATATATATATATATATATATATATATATATATATATATATATATATACACACCGTGGGTGGACTGACAACTCATGGGGCCCCCAGGCAATAAGGGATCATGGGGCCCCTGTGTCCTTGCCCAAACTCAAAAAAGCCTATGAAAAAGGTACCAGGGGCATCTCATGGGGCCCCCTACTGACCCCGGGCCCTCGGGCAGTGCCCGAATTTCTAAACGGTCAGTCCGCCCCTGATATATACACATACATACACACAGACATACTGTACATGCACACTTTTTTGTATTTTTTTTTTTATGTATATACAACCTTTTTTTCTTTTAACATACAGTAGATATAGTTTTTTTTTTTGTTTTGTTTTGTTCATTTTTAATCAATTGTATTTATCTTTAGATTGTAAGCTCACAGGATCAGGCCCTTCCTAACCCTCTTGTATTGAACTGTATTGTTGCTGTACTGTCTTCTGTTATATTGTAAAGTGCTGAGCAAACTGTTGGCGCTATATAAATCCTGTATAATAATAATAATATATAAATCGTGTATAATAATAATAATAATAATAATAATATATAAATCCTGTATAATAATAATATATAAATCCTGTATAATAATAATAAATAAATCCTGTATAATAATAATAATAATAATAATAATAATATATAAATCCTGTATAATAATAATAATATATAAATCCTGTATAATAATATATAAATCCTGTATAATAATAATAAATAAATCCTGTATAATAATAATAAATAAATCCTGTATAATAATAATAATAATAAATAAATCCTGTATAATAATATTAATAATAATAATAATAATAATATATAAATCCTGTATAATAATAATATATAAATCCTGTATAATAATAATAATAATATATAAATCCTGTATAATAATAATAATAATAATATATAAATCCTGTATACTAATAATATATAAATCCTGTATAATAATAATAATATATAAATCCTGTATACTAATAATATATAAATCCTGTATAATAATAATAATAATATATAAATCCTGTATACTAATAATATATAAATCCTGTATAATGACAGTAAAAATAATAATAATAAATAATAATAATAATACTTTGTTTTTACTAAAATCCTCTTGTCTTTTCTTGGCTACCCCTATAAAATCACATGTGCGCTGCAATCACACACATCTATCTGCCGTCAGACATTTCCCTGTCATGGGATGATCCTGTGTACACATCATCACCTGCTGTAAAAAAGCAAACTGCCAAATAAATCATTTACTGGTGTCACAATTAAAGGGACAGAGGACACCTGAGGTCTGGAAGTTGCTCTCCTGTCTCTGGCATAATAGGGTCAAGTAAGAGTAATGAAGGCACTACAAAGGGTTCAGTTTACTATGTCATGGTTTTTTTTTTTCTTTGGCATCGTGGGTCGCAGAGACAGTGTAGCTTCTCATCATGAGTTAAAGGCGAAGCAACTGTCACTCTGCAGGTAACCTCTGACCCTTGTAATAGCAGCTTAAAGTGGAAGTTCACCTTTAGCACAAAAAACGTTATTATTATACAGGATTTACATCGCGCCAACAGTTTACGCAGCACTTTCCAACATTAGGGGGACAGCACAATCACAATACAAATGAATAGAGGAGGGATCAGAGGGCTCTGCTCATTGGAGCTTACAATCTAAATGCAGCAATATCGATTTCCTGATCAATGTGCATTAATCAATATTTTGCAGTGAAGCCTGCAGATCATTGCACCCGCGATCATTGCACAGGCTCTTGTTTTCTCCCAGCCTCAGATTTGTACTGCACTCACAGTATCTTCTCAGTCTTCGCTCGGCATCATTCAGTCCCGAAGATTAACCCCTTGGTGTTGAGCGTAGGCATATATGCGGCCCCACTGGACAGGGGTTTATTTCTGCGGGGTCGCATATATGCGTACTTGTCTTTGTGCAGGTAGCACGCCACACAGCACACTCCCAGCCAGGGGCGGACTGACAACTCATGGGGCCCCTGGGCAATAGGGGATCATGGGGCCCCTGTGTCCTTGCCCAAACTCAAAAAAACCTATGAAAAAGGTACCAGGGGCATCTCATGGGGCCCCTTACTGACCTCAGGCCCTCGGGCAGTGCCCGAGTCTCCAAATGGTCAATCCGCCCCTGGCCTCTGGGCAATAGGGGATCATGGGGCCCCTGTGTCCTTGCCCAAACTAAAAAAGGCCAATGAAAAAGGTACCAGGGGCATCTCATGGGGCCCCCTACTGACCCCGAGCCCTCGGGCAGTGCTAGAGTTTCCAAATGGTCAGTCCACCCCTGCTCCCAGCACAGAGACCAGGGTCTCACCAGTAGTCCTGGGTCCCGTACGAATGATCCAGATGTCACCTGATCACTGTGATAGCGTCTGATTGGCCATCAATGTGAAGCCCGCCCCTCTGTTTCTATCTCTTTGAATGGAGAAGAGAGATACATTGTATCTCGCTCTCTGCTTGCAGAGAGAGAAAAAGATACAACTGTGTGCAAAATAAAAAAAAAAATAAAATAAAAACTCACTACTATTATTATTAATAATAATAATAATAATAATAGAAATAATAATAATGATATAAAAAAAAAAAAAAAAAAAAAAAAAAACCTAGATCAAGGTTTGATCTAGGTCAATGCCAGAGTTAGTGTAAGGGTGAAAGGTCAAGGTCAGTATATTTTGGGCAGGCTTAAAAAAATCTTTTTTAATTTTTATCAGTGTCAGTTAGTGTCAGTGCATTTTAGGTAGGATAAAAAAAGTAAAATGCACACTGTTGTTTCTGGGCCAGGGGCGGACTGACAACTCATGGGGCCCCCGGGCAATAGGGGATCATGGGGCCCCTGTTTCCTTACCCAAACTCAAAAAAGCCTATGAAAAAGGTACCAGGGGCATCTCATGGGGCCCCCTACTGACCCCAGGCCCTCGGGCAGTGCCCGAGTTTCCAAATGGTCAGTCCGCCCCTGTTCTGGTCCATACTACGGGTACAAATCACAACTAAAATACACAATTAAGATATCGTTGAAATCATCAGGAGCAGAAAAATTTATTTTGGGTTGTTCTTTGGTGGTAGATCATAATAGTAACAAGAAAATACACAGCTACATTTCCTAAAAAATATATATTTTTTGCTATTTTGGGCCAGTTTTCCTTTGATAAAAAAAATAATAATAAAATCATCCATATCCGTTATCGTTTACCACCAAATGAAACCCCAATTTGTCCTGAAAAAAAAAAAAAAAAGCGGTATAATCCACCTGGATGTACAAAGTAGTTGTGATCAGGGGCGGACTGACAACTCATGGGGCCCCTGGGCAATAGGGGATCATGGGGCCCGTGTCCTCGCCCACACTCAAACCACACCCAAAAAAGCCTATGAAAGGTACCAGGGACATCTCATGGGGCCCCCTACTGACCCCGGGGCCCGAGTTCCCCAATGGTCAGTCCGTCCCTGGTTGTGATGATATGTACAGTTTTACTAACACGTCAAAGTTGCAAAATTGTGCTTAGGCATTAACATTTGTTTCACTCTAAGCCCTGCTTTACACTGGATGCGACTTGGCATGCAATTTGCATGTCCTGCGACTTGCAAATTGCATGCCAAGTCGCACCCTATTGTCCACAATGGAAGCGGTCATATCGGTGAGGTTCAAACTTGGTCGGAGCTGCACCGATTTCAAAATAGTACATGCACTACTTTCAGTGCGATTTGCATAGATACCTGTGTCTGATCTCTTGCAAATCGCACCTGAAATCGCGCATCCCCCGACTTTGAAATCATGTGACTTAACTGTCGCACAATTTCAAAGTCGGGCTTGATGTGAACAGAGGGCAAGTTACACGATTTCAAAGTCAGTCTTTATGTGAACGGAGGGCAAGTCGCATGATTTCAAAGTTGGGCTTGATTTGAACAAAGGGTAAGTCATACGATTTCAAAGTTGGGCTTGATGTGAACAAAGGGTAAGTCGCACGATTTCAAATTCGGTCTTGATGTGAACGGAGGGCAAGTCGCACGATTTCAAAGTCGGTCTTGATGTGAACAGAGGGCAAGTCGCACAATTTCAAAGTCGGTCTTGATGTGAACAGAGGGCAAGTCGCACGATTTCAAAGTCGGTCTTGATGTGAACAGAGGGCAAGTCGCACGATTTCAAAGTTGGGCTTGATATGAACGAAGGGTAAGTCGCACAATTTCAAACTCGGTCTTGATATGAACGGAGGGCAAGTCGCATGATTTCCAAGTCGGGTTTGATGTGAACAAAGGGTAAGTCGCACAATTTCAAAGTCTGTCTTGATGTGAACGGAGGGTTTGGCTGGAAGGGGTTAGAGACATCTTGTAGTGCAGACATGAAGTACTAAAATATCGCCGGTGATGTACCATTCAGAGAAACTAAAAGCAATCTTTTAGGATCAGTTCACAACTGAATTGCACAGGAACGCCATCCACATTCCTGGGCGATTGCTGAGAATTCATTTACATGGGCTGAAAAAACACTGAATCACAACCAAAAGTAGTGCATGTACTATTTTATAATACACACTCTACCAGATTATATAGTACTGCGGTACCAGGCGATCTGATGCAGGAAAATGCACTGCATTTGCGATCTGCATTTGGGGTGGCATTAGGATTACATCGACACCCACAGCAGTGTTAGAAATATAGAAACATAGAAAAGTGACCAAGTGGTCTATTGAGTATACCTTTTTTTTTATATATTTTTTGCATTTTTTTATTCCATAATATTTTTTCATGTTTTAGGTTCATTTCTTTTTTTTTTCCTTTTATTTTTAAATTTTATATATTCTTTATATTTTCCAATTTTCACAGTTCTGCCCCATAATTTCACCCTTTTCACTTTTTTTTTACAAATGTTTACAAAATCCAATGACCCAATAGAAGGAAAAAAAAAACAAACAACCAGAAGCAGTTGTTTTAACGACCTTTGGTCAGATATTATGGAGGGAGAGTAAAGCCAGGAGTTCCATTGGGGAGGTGTGGAAACCATGAACATATATATATATATATATATATATATATATATATATATATATATATATATATATATATATATATACACACATACATACATATACACACACACATATATATATATATATATACAGTAGAAGACCATGAATAATTCACACCAGCCTCACCTAAAGCTAAAAAAAAAAAAAAAAAAAATTTAAATAAATCAAATCAGTTTTGGGTGGGTCGGTCATTAAATGAATCATAGGACTTCAATAATAATATTTATGGGAGGAGTAATTTACTATTTTGGGTAAGTGTGGGCTATAATCCGAAGCAACTGACGAGGCTTCAGGTGCTAAAAGAAATCAGGCATTTGGTTGCGATTGTTTTGCGTCCTTTTCCTTGCTCCAGTTTCGATACCTCGGACTCGGTGTGTGCCGCATTGCCCGCAGTTATTTGGTGGCATGTGACATGACTGAAAGCTTTGGAATTCGGAATATAATAATGTGCCAGAAGTGTGATTCATGGGTTGTAGAACACCTAACATGACACGCAGACAATACACTATTATCATCATAATCATCAATTATCTACAGACATCCTTCTCAGGGGTGTGACAAGAAACAGTGTTGCAAAATACCATAAAAAATAAAAAAAGCAACTAAAAACATTTCCTATCTGGACACACAAGGCTCTGTGGATGGAAGTGGGCCTATAGTCAACTGCCAATTGAGGTTGCAATACGGAGGGTACAGAGTCATGTAACAGGAGGTTGCAGCGTCATATCAACATAATATGTGATAATAGTAGTGGAATGCATCTGTGTGACATAGGGATAACACAGTTACATAGTCTGGCTCAGGGGCGGACTGACAACTCATGGGGCCCCCGGGCAATAGGGGATCATGGGGCCCCTGTGTCCTTGCCCAAACTCAAAAAAGCCTATGAAAAAGGTACCAGAGGCATCTCATGGGGCCCCCTACAGACATCGGGCCCTCGGGCAGTGCCCGAGTTTCCAAATGGTCAGTCCGCCCCTGGTCTGGCTGAAAAAAGACAAAAAGTCCATCCAGTTCAAACATAAAAAAAAAAATTATAATCCTACACCCACAGTTGATCTAGAGCAGCAATGGGCAAACTACGGCCCGGCGTACCTTTTAATCCGGCCCGTGGAGCGTGATACTGTCAGGATGTGTGTAGGCGGGGCAGCGTGACGAACGTGAGGGGAGCTAGGCTCCTCTCACAGTCCGCCCTGAAGACCGGAACGGCGCGGGAACACGGCGAGAGGAACGCGCGGAGCAAAGGTAAGTGAATTGACACGGGGGGGACTTGGCTTACTACTTGGGGGGGAATAAATTACTATAGGGGGGATGAATTACTATATGGGGGATTAATTACTATGGGGGATGAATTACTATATGGGGGATGAATTACTATATGGGGGATGAATTACTATATGGGGGATGAATTACTATATGGGGGATTAATTACTATGCTTACTATGGGGGAATATTACTATACTTACTATGGATGACACATACACATCATTCATCTACTCTTGGTCCGGCCCCCGGGTCCAATATATGGACCCATTGCGGCCCTCAAGTCAAAAAGTTTGCCCACCCCTGATCTAGAGGGATACTGCTATGTGTGGCCAACTTTAATTGATATAGACACGAATGTCTTGCTCAAGACTAAAGATTTACACTCCAGGTGACTTGGATCAGATTTTCTCAATTTGTAAATGTATTTTACATTACATTTAATAATAACAAACTAAAATGATAATAATATAACAATAATAATAAATGGCCAATAAATAAATGCAGACAGTGAAAATTTCAATGTTCTTTCAAATGATAATCTGTGAAGAAATGTTCAGTTACAGTTAAAAAGCGCCTTGTTTTTTGGTGGCCAGTGAAATGTTTTCTTACATTGGTCAGTGGGGAAGATCCTTATAAAAATGTATAGAGGACCGGTGGAGAAGGTCATTCTTTCATAAGTGTATAGGTGGTCAGTGGAGAAGAGCCTTTTTATATAGGTAGCCATTGGAAAAGGGCCTCCTTAGATAGGTGCATATGTGGTCATTGGAGAAGTTCCTTATATAAAAGTATAGGTGGCCAGTGGACAAATTTATTCTTAAACAGGTGTATAGGTGAGTGACAGGTCCGTGGAGAAGATTCATTTTATACAGGTGTATAGGTGGTCATTGGAGAAGGGCCTTCTTATATGAGGGTCATTGGGGAAGGGCCTTCTTATATAAGAAGGCCCTTCCCCAATGACCACCTCTGTAAGAAGGCCCTTCCCCAATGACCACCTCTGTAAGAAGGACCATTCCCAATGACCACCTCTGTAAGAAGGACCTTCCCCAATGACCACCTCTGTAAGAAGGACCTTCCCCAATGACCACCTCTGTAAGAAGGACCTTCCCCAATGACCACTTATATAAGAAGGCCCTTCCCCATTGACCACTTATATAAGTGGTCATTTGGGAAGGTCCTTCTTACAGAGGTGGTCATTGGGGAAGGACCTTCTTACAGAGATGGTCATTTGGGAAGGGCCTTCTTACAGAGATGGTCATTTGGGAAGGGCCTTCTTACAGAGATGGTCATTTGGGAAGGGCCTTCTTACAGAGGTGGTCATTGGGGTAGGACCTTCTTACAGAGGTGGTCATTGGGGTAGGACCTTCTTTCAGAGGTGGTCATTGGGGAACGGCCTTCTTATATAAGTGGTCAGTGGGGAAGGGCCTTCTTATACAAGTGGTCAGTGGGGAAGGGCCTTCTTATACAAGTGGTCAGTGGGGAAGGGCCTTCTTTCAGAGGTGGTCATTTGGGAAGGGCCTTCTTACAGAGGTGGTCATTGGGGTAGGACCTTCTTACAGAGGTGGTCATTGGGGAAGGGCCTTCTTATATAAGTGGTCAGTGGGGAAGGGCCTTCTTGCAGAGGTGGTCATTGGGGAAGGGCCTTCTTACAGCGGTGGTCATTGGGGTAGGACCTTCTTACAGAGGTGGTCATTGGGGAAGGGCCTTCTTATATAAGTGGTCAGTGGGGAAGGGCCTTCTTACAGGAGGTGGTCATTGGGGAAGGGCCTTCTTTTATAGGTGATCATTGAGGATTGAGGGCCTTTTTATATAGGTGCATAGGAGGTCAGTGGAGAAAGGTCTTTTTAGACTGATGGACATTGAGAAGACACCAACTTTTAACTACAAATACAGCTAAAAAGATCATCGTCAACAGTGGTTTCTAACTGGAGAGGCAGAAACTGCTCATTGCTCAAGGAACCCCTAGCAACATCTGGAGGAACTCTGGCAGAAAAGGCTACTGTAGTATAAATAAATCTTTCTGATACAGCAACAATATGATTACTAATTGGATACTAGTGACTGTACAAAACACATCTATGTGGTACAACAATAACACAGGCACCGATGTAATACTAATATATGTGAACAACTTTACCCTCTATAGGAGGTGAATATTGTCCTTCATCACATTGTTCTATATGAAGGAATCCCTTTACTGACCTCATGATAGAATCTAAGCGGATTACACCACTTGAACCACATAAGATCTACTTGGATTCACATGTAAAATAATATACAGATACCAGTTTTGAGATTGAAACAAGTTTGAATTTTGATGCTTGTTTGTGTCTACATATATTGAAATATCACCACTCATGTATTTACGTGTTGAAAATTGTGTTTCAGACAAGTATAAACCTATGTGGCTTTTCAATATCGTAATTATCTACCTAAAGATCTCCACATAACCTGGTTGCCTCTAAACATGCAACAAGTCAGTTTATTCCATTACTATGTTATTTATTGGAGGACTGCCACTGATGTTTATTGGTTTTCCTGTTGCCTTTATAAATGGAAATTAATTAGGTTGCCCTTATTACTTTGGATTGTGCATGTTGGTAAATGGTCTCCTATAGGAACTATTTGATAAATGTTTGAATATCTGGAATGAATATGACTTGTTTTGGACACTATATATAACTATGTGGTATAAATTGCAGGGCGGGTTGGAATTTTAATAGGATATTGTTGCCATGGTGTTGTAACAATGTGTTTTGGTAATAAAGATCTAGACAAGGACACAGCTCTATGATTATTTTTGCATATACAATACATCAAAAAGAAGGACTTTTATAGTGTGTTGTAGTCTTTCAAACAATTTTTTTTTTTTGTTATTTTGAAAAAATATTTTTGATTGGTAGGGTCTGGAATTTTTGAAGGAGTTAGAGACCATAAAAAGGAGTCATTTCAGAGGTTGAAGTTTCACCCAGAAGCAGTGTGAGAACCCTACTGTCCTCAACAGTTGTCTCCGACCCACACTATATAGACACAAAACATTTTTTTTTTTTTTCCAGTTTTGGTTAGACTTTACTGTCCTCAACAGTTGTCTACAACATAAACTACATAGCGAGAGGTGAAACTTTTCTTTTATTGGTGCTTAGAAGTTTGGCGTTTTTGCTCAGAGGTTTGAATTTTTTTAATTTTTTAGTTTTGGATAGAGTAAAGAAGGGTTAGACCAGCCTTTCTCAACCTTTTCAACACAGATGAGTCCTTGAAATAACTTGCTGATCTCAGAGAACCCTGCTAAAAATTATATCTACAACTCTTGATACTTTAGTGTGATGGTCAGTGGGAAGAATGCCCCTTACGCTTGTGGTCATTGTGAAGAATTGCCCCTTACAGATAGTTACAAAGGTTAGTGGTATCAGTGGGAACTTATCTGAGAGGCAGAAGTTGCTCATTGCTCAAGGAACCCCTAGCAGCCTCTGGAGGAACCCTAGAGTTTCATGGAACCCTGTTTGATAAACCCTTAGTTAGACCCTTTGCCAAGTTTTAAATGTGGTCTAGGTCCCCACAAGGGTGATTCACCCTCTCTTTTAGTCCTGATGACCATTGTCACCAAGACGATAAATAGGGTGAATTTTATATTTTAGAGTGGTCATTGGAGGAAACGATGAGGGAACATCTTCCAATGGGGACACCCGACGATGATGGAAATTCCCTTCACTAGGGAGAAATTTCTTCCCTTTTCCTGTTGGGCCACCAAGACAGAAATTAAAGAGAAATCTTCCTAGTAGGACACTGACAGTAAAAAATAAAAATAAAAAAAATTTGAAGTCTGCTGTGGTCTTTCAAACTTTTTATTTTAGTTAATTTTGTAAAATATTCTTCAATGGTAGGGTCTGGAATATCCAAAGGAGTTAGAAACCATAAAAGGTGTCATTTCAGAGGATGGAACTTCACCCAGAAGCAATGTGAGAACCCTACTGTCCTCAACAGTTGTCTCCAACCTACACTATATAGACACAAAACATTTTTTTCCAGTTTTGGTTAGAGGTTTGAAGCTTTTGGTTTTTTTATCAGTTTTGGATAGCGTTGAGAAGGGTCAGAGCCTTTGCCAATTTGTAAATGTCTCCACAAGGGAGAGTCATTCTATTTGTTCTGGTGACTATTGTCGCCAAGATGGTGAATAAGGTGAAATCCTATATTTCAGAGTTATCATGAAAGCAAAAGGTGAAGGGAACATCTTTCAACAGGGACACCTGACTATGAAGAAAATTCCCTTCACTTTGGGGAAATTTCTTTCCTTTTACTGTTGGGCCACCAAGATAAAAACTGAAGGGAAATCTTCCCAGTAGGACAAGACAGTGAAAAATAAGTATTCACTCTCCCTATTTGTTCTTATGGCCATTGTCACCAAGATGGCAAATAAGGCGAAACCTTAAATTTTAGAGTTCTCATTGGATCAAAAGGTAAGGGAACATCTTCCTGCAGGGACACCTGTCTATGATGGAAATTCCCTTCACTTTGAAGAAATTTCTTTCCACTGACTGTTGGGCCACCAAGACAGAAACTAAATGGAAATCTTCCCAGTAGGACACAGACAGGAAAAATAAGCTCTTAAAAAAATCTTTGAGCAACTTAATAATGCAGGGTTTCCTAGACATGGTATCATCAGGACTGAGGTCCAAGATGAGGGACTGTCCCGGCAAAACCAAGACATTGAGATGTGTGTGATACAGTGGACATTGCACAGCAATAGATTTCCAAGGCCAAGCCGTG